GCAGGAATGAGGCTGGATCATGTTTACTACTTCTTCCTTTATTTTGTGGAAGGTATTTAGGTGTGAGAGTTGTGGGTTTGGAGCTCAGAGATAAAAAGAACCCTGTGGCCCTTTGCTTCTGAAAGGGAAGGAGTTTTCTTGCTCAGAGAGGTTGTTGATGCCCCATCCCTGGAAGTGTTCAAGGCCAGGTTGGCTGAGGCTTGGGACAACGTGGTCATAGAATCAAAGAATTGTTCTGGTTGGAAGAGACCTTTAAGATTGAGTCCAACCATTCCCCCAGCACTGACAGCTCCCCACTACCCCATGTCTCTCAGCACCACATCTCCATGGCTTGGAAACCCCTCCAGGGATGGGGACTCCACCACTGCCCTGGGCAGCCTGGGACAGGGCTTCACAACACTTTTACAGAAGACAATGTTCCTCAACTCATTTGCTATCTGAAACTGCTTTGTGTCAAACTGCTTATGACAGAGATGGGGTGTGAGGCCGGTCCTCAAACTGCTCACAGTGTGATGAGTTTCACACCTACTGGGGGTCATACCAGCTGGATTGTTGCATGAGAACGTGCTGGCTTGGGTTCTGTTCCTGTGGAGGATGTGGGCTCGGTGGCATTGCAGAGTGTCTCTGGAGAGCAGCTGCAGAAAAAGGCAATTTAAGTGGTGGAGGCTGCATCGTGTGCCAAGCTGCACAGCAGGAGGAGATCTGGGCTGCTTCTCCTGCAGGGGACAGAGGGATGGTGCAGCCAGTAAGGGCTTGTGTGCTGAGCCCAGGTGGGATCTGCTCCCGAGGGGTCTGCAAACAGAGTTCGGGGGTTTGTTCCTCTCTGTGCTAGGTGGGTTGAGCTTCTGGCGATGGTTAACCCAGACCTGGTGCTGTGGCTTGGTTGTGTCTGTGGATGGAGGATCAGGTAGCGTGAGAGTACAGGCTCGGCCTCCTGGGCCACAGAGAACGGGCTGGGTTTCCACCTTCCAGTTTTCCAGCTGTTTAGGGGCTAAATGTGACCTCAAAGCGAGGGATTCGCAGGGCAGCTTTTTTTGACTGTGCAATGAGAACGTGATTTCCATCTCTGCAGAGAGCAAGCCACCTCAGGTGGTGCTGCTGGGGTGGGGATGGTGGGGTTGGCATGCTGGTGCCAGGCACTGGCTCGCAGAGCTGCTGTCCAGGTCTAACACCTTCCCTCCTTCCCTGGGCAGCTTGCAGGGTGGATCTGCCTCTCCATTGCCTCAGGGCCCAAAAGTGTGGGGTTGGGCAATGAATCCTGGAGTGGTTTGGTTTGGAAGGGACCTTTCAAGGTCATCTAGTCCAACCCCCCTGCAGGGAGCAGGGACATCCCCAACTAGAGCAGGTTGCTCAGAGCCCCGGCCAACCTCACCCGGAATGGTTCCAGGGATGAGGCATCCACCACCTCTCTGGGCAACCTGGACATGGGGCTCACCACTCTCAGTGTCAAACATTTCTTCCTTTTCTCTGGTCTAAATCTTCCTCTTTTAGTTTCAAACCATCCCCCCTTGTCCTGTCCCAATAGGCCCTGCTCAAAAGTATGTCCCCAGCTTTCTGACAGGCCCCTTGAAGCCCTGCAAGGCCCCCAGAAGGTCTCCCCAAGTGGAGCCCTCTCCTCTGCAGGCTGCCCAAGCCCTACTGTCTCCTGCTGGGCTCCCAGCAGAGGGGTTCCCCCCTCGGGTCATTGCTGGGCCTTCTCTGGCCCTGCTCCATCAGGTCCCTGTCTCTGCTGTGCTGAGGACTCCAGAGCTGGACAGATCCTGTGCTACTCCTCTGCAATCTCTGTAAAGTACTGTGGGTGGTCAACAAACAGGAAAATACTGAGGTGCTTCCAGGATGGTTTACCTCCCTGCAGTGAAGCTGGGCTCTGCTGCTTCATCGTCCACCCTGCAGACTCCCCAGGGTTGAGAAACCCCATGGTGAGCATCTCAGCTTCTCAGGACAGCTGCTGCTATCACAGAGACGTTCAAGGAAGCAGGTCTTGAGAACCTGCTCGATCAGCCCTTTCAACGAGGACTCTTCAGACTCTTGCACAGCATGGTGCTGAGCCTGCCTGATGGAGCAGCACTGCAGCAGCCCAGATGTCCTCGAGTTGCTCCCTTGTCCTCAGCAGCTGCCTCCTCTGGTGCTGTTTTGCTGCCTCAGTTGAAGCTTTGCCCTTTGCTACTGCCTCAGGCAGCTTATTGATGGGAAGAGGAGAGGATGGAATATATTTGGAGCTAGAACTCAAGATGCTCATGTACATCTGAGAGCAGACCTGGATCTAGCTGTCCCTTAGTCCAGCTGGTGGGGGATTGGGCATCCTTCGTTCAGTTCTGGCCCTGAACCCAAGCCCTGTGTTCTCTAACCTGCTCCTTTGATCTCCTGCTTGGAGGTGGCTGCAGGAAGGCAAGCTGTGGGTTCCCCATCTCCTGCTTGATGGCTCATTTCAAAGCCGTCGCCGTCTGCAGTCCAGCTGGTAGATCAGGTCCCCACTTGAAGGGAAGAGCCATTGATTGAAGCTCTCATGGCAGGGTGGGCTCAGCAGTGGTGCAGCACACCAAATGGAAGGAGATTAAATGAAGGGGCAGCAATAGGGCAAGGAGAATGGAAGTGCTGTCACAGATGGGCCACGCTGCATTGAGGTGGGATCCTTCACCATCACCTGGCAGTTTCTGCCCCTGTCCAGCCAAGCTTTCTTCTTGGTTTATGGAGGAGAAGAGCGTTGTCCGAGAGAGTAGAGATGCTGTTCTGTGGACAGCTTCACTTTGGGATTGTGATTTAAGGCATTGCTTGGAGTACCCCTCATGCACAGGCTTCCTCATGTCCCTCTCCTCTTCCATCTGTTGCATGAGTTAAGTCTCTCCTGTGAGTTGTGGGGAGCAGCACTGATCATCTGTGCTGCCAGAAGGAAATAAAACCTTCCAGAGCTCTGCATCGAGATGGGGCTTTTGGGGTTGAAGAGGAGCATAGGGCCTTCATACCCTCTTTCTTTCTTGGCTTATCCCTGCTTGCCAGGGACTCTGCAGGTCTGTGACCCTTGGGACCAGGGGGTCATCCTGTGTCAAATGTGCTTTTCCTTGGCAGGTTGCTTTCCCAGCTCCCAGGCAGCCCTGGTAGAGCATCCTCTGTCTCCAGAAAGGGGAGGATTTGTCTTTTCCTTGGGTAGAGAAGGCTGGAGGAAGAGGTCAACATGAAGGGGCTGTTGCAGCTTAGCTGGGGGCTGAGGAGACCTGCTGATGAAGGTGGCTGTTTCTCCTCCTTGCTGCTGCTGTCACCTCCTTTTCATTTCTCCCCAGCCATCTGATTTTTACCCTATTGACAAGTGCAGAAGAGTTGTTACTGATTAATGGAAGCATTTGCTCTCCCTGCAGAAAGGCAGCGAGGGGGAAGCATCCTTCCTTGATCATTTTCTGCTTGTTCTTTGTCACCCCATCTTCTCAGAGATCTTTTATTGGGCTGTGAGATGACACCCCAGAGCCACGGAAGGCAGCTGCATATCACACCTGGGTGATGGGGAAGAAAAGACAGGCCTGGGGTGTGATTTTTTTGAACAGGGTCAGCTCTCTTCTGCCTGCAGAACCACCACGCTGGGTCTGCTCTGTGCCACTGCAGGGAGGCAAGGGGTGGTTTCCCAGTGCCTTGTAGTGAGGGAGGGGAGAAAACCTTTCTTGGGACTTTTTCTCCTGGTGACAGGCCTGATTTAGGGTCCTGTATCCTTTGGGCTGATCCTTAACCTCCCTAATCCAGAGCCCAGAGCTGGCTGCTGCCTCATTTCCAGCAGCAGTTGTACAGCCAGATGTGTTGTCATCTTCAAGAGAGTTCCCTGGTGAGCTGATCCCCTTCCACCTTCCCAGGGATGAGCTGCTGACAGATTCAGCTGGAGCTGACATTGCAGAAGAGACTGTTTGGTTTATTTAAAAAGGAAAAAAAAAAAAAAAAAAAAGCTCTACCTGCTTATCTTCTCCCTGGGATTCACTGGAGAATAGTCAGCTGAGTTCCAGGCAGTGTGTAAAGGCTCTTGGTCAAACACAGTGTAAGCAAAGGGAGAACATCCCGTTCTCATTCCCATCCTCACTTTCTCATTAGCACAGCATTTGTTTCATTTACTAATTTCATTGCTTATTATCTCCAGCTTTTGACAACATTTCCCTTTATTAAAGAAACAGACAGATGGAGAGACAGCAAAGAAGGGAGATAAACTCCAAAGCAGGGCTGGTGAAGGCTGCTGCTGGAGTGGTTCTGTTTCTACCTCCAGCTGATGGATGCTTTTGTTGTTCTCTGAGCAAATTGTCCAGGCTGCTGGGAGGGAAGGCTTTGAAGAGCCTGTCGGTGTTGTTCATACCTCTCTCCAACTGTTCTCGCTGAACTCGGAGCAGACTTGAATTGACAAGAGAGTGGGGTTTTAGATCTACTGTAAATTACCTTTTTTCCCTCCCCCCCAAGTGTCTGAATAATTAGGCAGCCAGTCAGTGTTTGCTCGGAGCGAGATGCAGGCAGTCCCTGCCCTTCAGATGATCTCTGCAGTGCTATTTAAAAATGAGTGTGAAATAATTAACTTTCTGGGCTATGGGCAGATCCCGTGCTAGATCTGTGGGCTCTTCCAGGGTGAGCAGAACTTTTGAAGGGAAGAGGCATCAGCATAACTCTTCCCAGATCTCTCTCATCAGAGCCTCATGGTGCTCTGAATCTTGTGTTTGGGCAGATTGGATCAATGGGTTGAGGTTGAACAAGGCCAAGGGCTGGGTCCTGCCCTTGGGTCACAACAACCCCCTGCAGTGCTCCAGGCTGGGGAAGAGTGCCTGGAAAGTGCTTGGTGGAAAAGGACCTGGGGGGAGTTGGTCAGCACCTGGTGGAAGATGAGAAGGTGCCTGAAACCTGGTCATAGGGAAAAGTTTGGTTTCTTCAGGTATCTTCTATGAGTTCATGCCCTTTCAAAATTGCTGTTTCAGTAGTCAAAGAACTTGTCTAGGGAAACTAAACTTGTTGTGCTGCACTCATTGGCCAATGGAGCTAAAGAAGGGCAGAATTCTTCAAAGCAGTTATGCTCCTACAAGCAACGGTGACCCAGCTGAGGGTTTTTCCAAGAGGAAAAGCAGGAGGAGTTTGGTTATTAAACATTGTGCTCTGGAGCAGCAGGCCAAGGCACAGCCTGGCTGGAGAACCCTGATGTGCAGAGTGGTGACATTGGTCTCCCCAGCCCAGTTTGTGAAGACAAGCTCCTTCAGCTCACTCAGCTCTCTGCTTTTAGCTGAGCCCAGTGTGACAAATAAGGCTCCAATGTCAGTGGCAGTAAGTGCCATGCTTTGACTGTTATTTTTTCCTGGCTTTAGAGGCTTTGCCTCTTGATTTCTTAAAACATGCCCTTAGTGGTGCTCTGGGGCATCTCTGTGAGGGGCAGTGGGTCAGCCTGCCAAGGTGGGGACATTATCACTAGACCTGTGGCTTGCCAAAGTAGAGCTGTACTTTTAACAGTGAGTTCTGCTTCCTCTTTCACTCCTGCAAGACCTGAATGATCACTTTAAGTCATTTTAAGTGGCTTCAGGAGAACTGAGTGTGGTGGCTTCTCAGTTGTGTCTTTGGGCATCCATCCATCCATTCATCTCTTGGATGCTGGTATCCATTATAACCAAATGTTGGCAGCTCTTATTCACAATGGAAGTCTGTCCTGAGAGAAGCTAATGATCTCAGCAGTAAACTTCTTGATCAATTTATTGCTCCCAACCCTTGCCTAACCCTCAGGGACTCTGATGTCCAGTAGTGTGAGCTCCTACAGAGACAAAAATAGCCACTGTCTTTGTCTATCCAGTTCATACCGCTATTGAATCATTTTCTGGAGCATTCAAGGATAAGCAGAGAGCAGGGATGTTATCTGAAGTTAGATCTTGGTCTTCAAAGTTGGGGGGGATTTTTTTTTTTAACGTGGCTCCAAGAGATTTCTTGTCTCTTGGACATGGCCTTGCTTCGTGCAGGCAGAAGCTGACCTAGAAACCTGAGTGCATGTGGCCCAGCAGAGCCTTTGGCTCCTGGCAGGTCTCCTGTGCAGCGAGGCACCAGGCTGCCCCTTGGACCCACACCAAATGCTAACTGAAAGAATGAGGGCACAATGCAAACCCTGCTGCTCCGGACGGGCTGGTGGCCACAGTGGGTCTGCAGTGGGTCACCCTGGGAGATTCAGGGTCTGGCTCCAGTGAGACAAGCCATCATTCTTCCTCAGGAATGCTCCTCAGGTACAATTTACTGCCCGGCTTGTTGCCAAGCTGTGATAAATGAGCTTTGTCAGGTAGCAGACTTGCAGATTCACCTCTGGAGCAGAGCTATCAGGTCTCCTTTTCAAGAGAGCTGCCCCGTGTCAGCATGAGTCAGAAGAAAAGCTGTACGTGAACGTCAGCCAAAGCCTAACACCCACCAGCTCAGTAGGAATGTGTTGGCTGGGTAGCCCCTGGCTGACGGCTCACAGTGGATGCCTCTGAGGCTAGTGAAGAGCTCAATGTGGGATGTGGGGGCAGCAGAAGAGCAGGTTGGTAGGGTCCTAAGAAAGACATGGACCTGTTGGAGTGAGTCCAGAGGAGCCCCAGCAATGACCCAAGGGGGGAAGCCCTATGCTGGGAGCCCAGCAGGAGAGAGTTGGGCTTGGGCAGCCTGCAGAGGAGAGGGCTCCACTTGGGGAGACCTTCTGGGGGCCTTGCAGGGCTTCAAGGGGCCTGTCAGAAAGCTGGGGACAGACTTTTGAGCAGGGCCTGTTGGGACAGGACAAGGGGGGATGGTTTGTAACTAGAGGAGGGAGATTTAGACTAGAGAAAAGGAAGAAATGTTTGACACTGAGGGTGGTGAGCCCCATGCCCAGGCTGCCCAGAGAGGTGGTGGATGCCCCAGCCGTGGAACCATTCCAGGTGAGGTTGGCTGGGGCCCTGAGCAACCCTCTCTAGCTGCAGATGTCCCTGCTCCCTGCAGGTGGCTAGGATGAGATGACCTTGAAAGGTCTTTTCCAACCCAAACCAGTCTAGGATCTGGTGTGGTCAGAGAGGCTCCACTGTTTATCCCATGCCAACTACCTTTGTCCTTCCCATTCTTACCATTTTTGAAGATTTGCTTCTGCAGCTCCAGAGGGCAGATTAAATGGAGCCGAGTTCATTAAATTTTGCCAGTACCAGGAGTAATTTTGATGCTCTGGGCATGCTCCATCTCAGGATGCAGGCCCATGGACCTGACCTCCTTCCATGCAGGGCACAGTCACCCCAAGGAGCTGTTGTAGCTGGGGCACCTACACATGCTGCTGGGACCGTGGATGCTCAGCAGGTTGCTGCTTCCCAGCCCTCCAGCTGGTCTCACCTGTGTTAGCAGAGGTCATCTGGGGAGGTTATTTAAAATCCTTCCCTTGACTCTGAAGTGCTGGTTCGTTTTCTGATGCTCTTCTCCCTTGGGCTGGCTGGTGTCCTCTCAGAGCTCAGTGCTGCCAGCCTGATGGATGGAAACTCAAGCAAACTTCAGCTGCGTCAAGCACTTGCTTGGATCACGTCAGGCCTCCAAGCACATCCTTGCTTTCTATTAAAAAAAGGAAATAAAATAACCCATTTTCTCTTAGAACACTGCAGACTTTTGAGTCAGTGGTGCCCCTCATCCCAAACACAGTGTCGAACTGTGGAGCACGTGCCACTAACACCCTGATGGACACTTCAGAGTTGTCCATCTGCATCCCAGAACATTTCATGCTGGCCAGGGAGGTTTTTCATGCCCATCTCCTCTGCAGGCTTGCCCCATGCCAGTGTGGTTTTAGGTGGTCTGGGGTTCCAGCACCTTTGCTACCCCATCTGTAGAGGGAAGTCCTTAAGAAACCAAAGGAGGAGAGTCCTTGGAAAGCCCAGGTTGTCCCACAAGGCACAACTTGCAGTTGTCTGTCTGCTGATGGCTTTACAGTCCTGCTATAAACATTGAAAGCTGAATTTTCCAAAGCAGAGGGCACTGGGGCACCTTGCTGCAGCTGCGCGGCACTGGGAACTGAGCCCTTCAGTCCTTCAGGGGCTGTTGAGGAGCACTGCTTACTCTGGGGAGAGAAGACTTTGGGTTTGGGGTTTTGATCAAGCAGTTTTGCAGAGTTATTCTTCAGGCTCTGAGCAGTATCCCCCAGCTGTGTGGCTGTCACGGTGGGATTTGAGCAGCCCTGGCTTCCTCTGGCCTTGAGCCTTTATCCAAACCCAGCCACTGCCCTTGGGAAGCAAGGAGAGATGAACTAACTCCCTTGGCATGTACTCCAAAGGAGAGACTGGAGGGGAATAACCTCCTCCTGAGGATGAGCATCCCTTGGGTTGGGCAGAACTGGGTTAATGAAGTGACTCTGTTCAAGGAGGGCAAGATATGGGTTGTATAAGCTCCTGCAGAGTTGTTTCCAGATACAGTAGGTTTAGAGAAGTTAAGTCTTCATGTTTTTTACCTTCATATCTTTGGTCCTTCCTTTTCCTGCACCCCACAAGAGACGTGGGTCCACGGTTTCCACCCTAAGTTAGCATTTGGTTTGTCTTGCAGACTGGCAAATGCTCATGCTGGAGGATTGAACCCAGTAAAGGAGTGATCCCCCCCGAGACTGAGGTGGCTCTGGCTGTCATAGCCAACTTGGATGACACGGAGAGGCTGAAGGATGAGGTGAAGCTGTTCATAGAGAACAGCTGTAGCTACATCATCCCCGTCCAGGCTGTCGGTGTTGGCACCACGATCGTCACCGACAGACCCTTGGCTCCGGAGCTCAACTTGGGACCCCACTTCAGGTAGGGTGTTTTTCAGCTCCTGCTTCTCCTCTGGTGGGCTCAGCAAGTTTTGCTGTAGTTTTTCAGTGCTCAAGGTCCTGGCTTTCTTTCTTTGAAGTCACAGGGATTCCTTCAGAAACAGTTTTTGCCCATTTCAAAGGCATTAGATACCCTCAAAAGCCACTGAAATGGAAACCAGATGCTAAATTGTCACTGAATTGCCTTTAGTTCTAATACATTTATCTCCTTGCTTTATCAAATGAAGATTTGGAGAAAAACAGCAGGTCCTGGAAGCCTCCGGGTAGACAATGCTAGATGACAAGTGTGAGTATCTTTCCCTTTGCCATACCGTGACTTGCTTTTCATTCCCTATGGATCATCGTCCTGCAACAGCGGCAGATCTTGGCGGTGGCTTGTGAGCAACTCCTCAAGTAAATCAGTGGTGCTGGTTTGCTTCCCATCTACCCGGGGGTCCTGCAGGAGCAGCAGAACTTGTCTTTGCCCTGGATCATCCCTCAGTTTGCTCGTCTTCCCCAGCTCTCCTGCTGGGCTGCTCTTTGTTAGCCCTTGTTTCTCCTGCCTTGCTTTCCTCATCATCTTCTCCATCAGTGGAGCTGTCTCCTGGGACAAGGATAGTCTCCTCCAGGTGTCTGTTCCTTTCCCTGGCTGCAGAGAGGGTCCACAGTGCTCTGATAGCTGAATTTTGGGGTAGAAAAAGCAGGTTAATCCTACCTTAGGCATTTAGGATAGATTTGGAGAGGCTAAGTGTGCACCCACGAGCCATCCTACATAAGCAGGGACATTAGAGGGAGGTTGGTGCTTGTCTGACACGTCCTGTGCTCTGTGCAGCCACAGATAGGCTACACAATGGAGAAGACAATGTCAGTGGAACTTCTGTCATTGTTCTCTGCCCCTCTTCACACCCTTGCCTGCAGGCTCAGTTTGGAGTTGTTGCTGTAGCTGTCAGCTGCAGAGCTACCACCAGGTGAGCTGAGATGGAACCTGGGGACATCTCAGATCACAGAAGAAAATTATAGGATCGTTTTGGTTGGAAGAGACCTTCCAGATCATCAAGTCCAACCATTCCCCCAGCACTGCCAGGTCCCTGCTAACCCACGTCCCTCAGCACCACATCTCCACAGCTTGGAAACCCCTCCAGGGATGGGGACTCCACCACTGCCCTGGGCAGCCTGGCACAGGGTTTCACAACCCTCAAGGGGAAGGTACTTCTCCTGTCCAACCTAAACCTCCTCTGGTGCAGCTTGAGGCCATTTTCTCTTGTCCTGTGGCTTGTTCCTTGGGAGAAGAGCCCGACCCCCACCTGGCTTCAACCTCTTTTGATGAGTTGTGCTTTCCCACAGCCACAAATTCTGCATCTTCCCAGAGCTGAGCCAAGCTTTCATCTGTTGCTGTCCACAACATGAACTATTTCATGCTAAGCTTGTACACATAATTTTTCAACAGTCTGTTTCAAAGACTGGCTCGTTCTGTACTGTCACTGTATTTAACTGCTTGTGGCAGACACATTTTGTAAGCCACCTATTCTCTACCTTTCAAAAAACCAATAACTCTTCCCAGAACAATTAATTTCCTGGTTATGCTCAGATTTATAGCGAGGAAAATAATATACTCCAGACTAGCCTGCAGTTAGTGTTTCGTTACACGAAGGAATCAATTGCCATTGAATATTCATTTTGGTTTCTCTCTAGCTGTAGCCACTCCTCTCTCCTTGTTCCATTCCCTCCGCAGACCCCCAGGTCTCTCTCTGCTCTCCCTCAGCAGACCCCCACCCAAGCCAGACCCGGATTTGCCGACGTGTTTCTATGGGGGAGACTTCTGTCAATCCCATGTTCTCATAGTGCATGTATCTTCCTGATACACAAAACTAGCTTCACTGTTCAGGCAAAGGGGGGGATGTGTTGGGGCAGTGCTCCCTCAAAGAAGGACGGTGACATGGGTGCCACGAGAGGGGCCTCGCCAGCAAGGCAAGTGGTGTCAACCCAGATGACCAGATGAGTCTACATACCCTGCAGCTCCCCAGTAGCATCTTCAGAGGAAGAAGTTCCCACGGAAAGGGTGGAATGGCAGCAAAGCTGTTCCTCCATCCACGTGCAGCCAGGACGGGACAGTTTAGCATCTGATCTAGCAACACCCCCAGGAAACACCTTGGAAAAATGCTTTGGTGCTATTAAGCACCAGAAGTTGGTGATGCTTTGTCTGCAGCAATGGAGATGATGCTTTTCATGACACTTTTCCTTGCTGTACCCAAACAGACCAGCTGCTGGATGATGCTAAACATGGGGACAACCAAGGGCTGGCTTTTGCTGAAGCTTTGAGCTAGGTCAGCCTTTGGGGAGGGGGTTTTGCTGCTGAGCGTGTGGTCAGATAACGACGTTGTGGCGCTGAAGCTGGGAAGTGGCAGCTCCTGTGACATTGCAGCTTCTCTTCCAGCCTGGATCCCTGCTGTTACTGCTTCAAGGTGACCAACAGAGGACGACGCACCCATCAGCTCTTCTGGACAAGGGAAGGGGTCACCCCCTTTGGGCAGCGTGGTCGTCTCCCTGCCATCAGCAACACCAAGGGGAAAGGCTCCTCCCAGAGCCCCGGCCCTGCCTGCCCCGTCTTCACACTTCGACCGTCCAGGATGGAGCTGATGCCAGGCAAGACAATGGAGATGGTGCTGGAAGTCTCCTCCAGCATTCCCCAGGTGAGATGCCCCACGAGGGCTGAGCCTTCCCCAGCACCTCCACTGGGATTTCTTCTGCAGCCCCTTGACATTTGCCTGAGAAAACGAGCAAGTGCTTTCAAGAAACTCTTTGAATGCCACAAGTTGCCATGGCAGCACCAGTTGCTTTCCTTGCTGGCCACCATCTGTTGCTAAGGTTTTTTCATGTTTCCATAGCTACCATAAACCCAACTTGCTGATAGCAAAACACAAGCTGAAGGAAATATTGCTACTTCAAGGCAAACAAGGGGTTACAGGGTGTTGTGTGCCGAGGCAGGAAGGAAGGGCAGAGAAAATAAGCTACACTTAGGAGCACGGGCAGAAAGTAAATGCAAATTTAATATATCTGGGCAAAGCAGCAAGTCAAAACACCTAGGAAGGGAGGAAGCGTCTGGGAGCAGCAGCTTTTTTTCCCCTGTAGACAAACATGGGCAGAGAGCTTGTCTGGCACCGAGGGCTGGAGGAGGAATGTGAACACAGTGTGCCAGCTCGAATGATGGGAGTGACGTTCATCCACGTGGGAAACTGTTCCCAGCGATCATTATAATTGACAGCTTGACTTTTATCAATATTTCCATAACAGCTAGTCCTGGTCTCTCAGCCAGCCCCAGTGTCCCAAGGGCAGCCAGGTCCTGGAGGGGAGATTTCAGCAAGGCCACTGAGTGCTCTAGTCCCTGGACCTTTCTTTCCAGGGGAAATCCAGCTTGGCAGAGAAGCTGCCAGATAAGCCTGGTGTGCACTCCCTGGCTCCAGCACCACTGGGCACAGATGTTTAAGCAGATGTGGACTAAATCTGCTGATACAAGTGTTTTGAAAGGCGTTTCCAAGGGTTGCCTCAGTGGTAGATTGAGGAAGACTTAATTACTCAGCAACTTGACTGCAATGTCCTTGTGCAGTTCTGAGACCCAAAGTTTTGCTGAAGAGGGAAAAAGGCACCAGGATGGAAATCAAGTGATCAGGGCACTGGTGAAGGTGTCTTGCCTAGAAAGCTGAGTGGGCATCTGTGAGCTCAGCTGGGGCTGCCTGGCTCCAGCAGTCACCCCTGGGAGTGGGTGATCCACCTTCTTTGGGTCTGGAGAACTTAGTGCTCTTCAGGTTGGTCAGAAGCCTGGCTCCCTGCACTGCACATGCAACACAGGTAGTTTAGAAGGCTGTAGGCTTGGGGGTGGAGTTGAGTTGTGGTGTTGTACCAGAGGGAAGAGTGAGAAATGAAGGGAGGAATCTGGTGAAGTAAAAAACATGAGAAATGAAGAAAAAGTCTGGAAGGTGAGAGCTTAAGCGGAGCGTTTCCATGTGAAGTTCAAGACATATCTTTCCTGGAAAGGTGTCTTTTCAAACCAGCTCTAGGAGGGCACAGTACCTCCTAGGAACGAGTGACTCCTTCTTTACCTGAAGGCAGGCTGGCTAGCTGGGGGCTTCCCATGAGTCCTTTCCACTAAACTTCCAAGGGAGGGTTTGCTGGTCTTGGCCCTTCTCTCATGTTTCTCTTAATACAGTTTGGTTTTTAATGAATGCTTACTAGGAAGTTTCCAGAACTATATTTGGCAATGGGATAAATCCACCCAACAATCATTTGGGGCAGGGATGGTTACCACTGTAGGAAGCACATGCTTCATGAGTGCCTTTTGTGGATATTCGGGTGGAGATTATGGACACTTGAGTGCAGAATAGATAGGATGCAGCCTGAAAAAGAAAAGGGGTGTGTTGAGGAGACCAGTGACCGTAACTTGACGGCAGTAAATCAGGTCTGTTGTTGGGTGGTTGGTGATTGCAGGGTGTTTTCTGGACACCTTGGTAGCACGTGCTGGGTGGTGTCTCCTGCCTACAGGTGGTGAAGGAGCGGCTGCGGTGTCATGCTGTGGTGGGGAGCAAGGTGGAGAAGGTGCAGATAATGCAGGTGGACGTCACCTGTGAGTTCATTGCTCCCGTTCTCCAGATGTCCTCCAGAGAAATCACTTTCCGGGTGGAGAAGGTAAGTGAAGTCAACAAGGATGGGGTTAGAGGCGGGACTAACTTCACCCAAGTAAAACTGAGATTACAGCTGCTCTGCCAAGAGGCATCGTGGCCACTGCTGGAGAGACACCAGCTTCTGAACTCCGGATAAAGGTGGGGCTTGGAGGGTCCTCCAAGGCACAGTGACGTCTGAACACCGATCCTGTAGAGAAGCTGAGAAGAACCAACCTTCCCACCAGCTCCTCAGGCTGATGAGGAAAAACTGTCATCTCTTGTCTCTCTTTGCCTGCTCTGCTGCTGGTGTGGATGCGAGCTCTTTGCATTTCCCCAAGCCTGATCTACTTCAAAGGACCTGCAGACGTCCTTCAGCCGCGGAGGTGATAACACCGACGCGAAGCAGGTGCCCTTTAGTCTCTGGATCCTGTCTCCTGCATCAGCTTTCCCTCTCACACGAGGTGTCTGAAAAAGAGAAGATATTTCATTATTTAGTTTCTGCAGTTTCAGGTCCCTCCTCTAGCTCCCAGGCTTGCAGAGAAGCACAGAATCCTCTGAGCAGGCAGTTCAGATTTAATTAGAAGCTTTTCAGCTCTCCCTGATGCCTGCCTGTGGTTGAGCTCTCATCTGTCGAGTGCTACAACACTGCAGCTCTTTGATACCAAGACATCCAGAACTAGTTTCCCAAACATTGTCTAGTTTATCTAAACCACTCAGGAAGCCCAGAGCAATGCCTAAACAGGAAGGAATAGCTAAGGCTGAGCTTAGCTTTGGGGCTGCACACTCCTTGTTTCTCTGGCACGGACAGCAGGAGACACGTTGCAACCAGCCTGGTGAGGTATCCAGCTGCTCTGTGGGTATCTAAATGTTCCAAGCCAACTTTAGGCTACTGCATGCTCTCCACTGTGGCTCAAATCCTGCTTGGTGTTTTCCTCCTGCTTTTAGGAGGCTACTGGAGCCAATAACTTTGTGAGAAATTACTCTGTGTGAAAATCAACTTGTGCTGTTCTGCCCAAGAGAGGATACGAAGCTGGAGATGAATGCTCTGAGTTCACTGGTTTTGATCTTCTTCAAGGAGCTACCTCTTCTCAGGGTCCTATTCCCTCATCTGTACATGAGACTGTTCCCCAGTCCCTCAGGGGATACCGTGGTTCCTAAACATCTGATAGAGAGAAAAACCTTCTAGAAGAGTAGATACTAATAAAAATAGCAAATAAAGATGTATGCGCTGTGGGGGTTGGACATTTGGACATGCATTGGAAGGTGAAAGAGGGCCATGGCCACTTTCAGGTTGTGTTTTCCTTGGACCTCATGGCCACTTCAGGTTGTTTTTTCTTTGTCTCCTGTTTCTGTAGCAGCCTAGTGATGTCCTAACTCTTCAGTACAAGCCTCTTTCTTTGAAAAACATCTCCTCCCTGCCATTAAGCATTGTGCTGGCCTTAGGACAACCCTTTGTGATCTGCAACAGGGAGCAGCAGCCCCTCCCTGCAGATGTTCAGGTGAGCAGCCACAGACCTTCCTGCTGGTGGGGTTTGGAGAGGGAGGAATATGCTGGTGTCTTTCTGGTGGGAGGTCCTCCAGTAGAGAGGTTTATTCTGTAGAGTCAGCAGTGGACTGGCCTGAACTAAATCAGGTGTGAAATGCGCTGCTGGAGGAAACAAAGTATCATCTGATTTGGGAGTAGAAGCGTAGAGCTGTTTTGGTTGGAAGAGACCTTTAGGATCATCAAGTCCTGCCCTTCCCCCAGCACTGCCAGGTCCCCACTGACCCATGTCCATCAGCACCACATCTCCACGGCTTGGAAACCCTTCCAGGGATGTCCATTGCCCTGGGCAGCCTGGACAACCCTTTCTGGGAGGAAATTTTCCTAATATCCAACCTGAACCTCCCCTGGCACAACCTGAAACCATTTCCTCTTGTCCTGTCGCTTGTTCCTTGGGACAAGAGCCCAATCCCCAGCTTGCTACAACCTCTTGATTCTAAGACATGAGAAGAGGGGAGCAGACAGCAGGTCTGGTCAGGCCATGTAGTAAAGATGTCTCCTGGAAACCATCCCAGCTATCCTCAGGTAACCCCAAGAGCAGCTTGCTCTCTTTAAGGGCAGCTCTGTCTTCTGGAAGGCTGAGGATGCTCCTCCAGCCACAATCTGGCCACTTGTGCTGTGAGGATGAAGTTGTTCCTCTAGAGTGAGGCCAGAAGGCCTCACTGGTGTGGCCAGAGTGCTGCTGTGGTTGTGCATTGAGTCCGCAGCCTCTACAGGTCCAGAATTCAGTAGAACAACATCCATTTACTTCTTGGAGTGATGCACAGCACAGAGACACAAGCCTGAGATGGTGGCAGACGAGAGTGTGGTCCTTGCAGTGAGGTGCACACTATGAATAAAATGAAGGATGAGCTGAGAAGCCCACACTGGGCATTTCCGGATGTTTGTGGGACATTTGTGGGACATTTGGAACTTGGGACATTTACATGTTTCATGCTATCAGACCTTGGGATTTCATCATACTGATGATTAACACTCATCTCCTCGCAGCCCATGAAGCTGGAGACAGGAGAAGAACTTCATCTCTCCATCAGCTTTAATCCTGCTTATGAAGAGGATTTGACTATTCGGGTAGTAGAGAAGGCTCTGAAGATCCAGTTTCTTGAGCACCCTCACGAGGAGCACATGAGCATTCGGGGAGAGGTCTACTTCCCAAACGTCCATCTCCAGACCATGGCCCTGGACTTTGGCTGCATCTTGAATGACACTGAGGACGTGCGTTACATCGAGATGACCAACTGCAGCCCTCTTCTCGTCCAGTACCACTGGTCGTTCCTCACGGGCAGCCACGTCAGCCACATGAGGTACGTGCACCTTTGCCCTCTCCGTGAAGCTCTTATGGTGGCCTGTTTGTGCCTGGCAAAGACCGAGGCTGTTTGCCTGGGACCTGATAAATTGCTCTCAACTTTCCCTTGTGGAAATAACCTACCAGCCATGGTCAGGTAGGTGGTCTCCACCAGTTTTCCAGGGAGGACACAGTATTCTCCAGCCAAGCTGGGGCTGTAAGACGCTACCAACACTTTTCACATAGCCCATAACCTAAAGTCCTGCTTCATCCCTGGAGCTACAAAACCATGCTTAGACATTTGGACAAGCAGGTACATAACGTGACCTCTTCTCCTTCTTTGCCAACCCATGCTGGAGCACTTCTAGGAACACATTTCGAGCAGTTCCTCCCACTGTGGCCTCTCTGCACAGCATAGAAGTTTGGTCTGGGGGATGATAATTACAGTAGCAAATGTTTTTGTTTTTTTTTTTTCTGTGATACCCCAGAAAACAGAGCAGAGTTAACCACGATGCATCAAAGTGCTGCTGTTCCAAATAACAGAGCTCATCAATAAACAGTTTGGTTGAGGGAATTGGGGTCTGGCTCAGAGGACATGACCTGTTTGGAACTGGAAATTAGCTGTGAGGAGGCCTTGGGGGACAGGACCTGGGGTTGCCGGTTCTCAGTTGGGTCATGCCAAGGAGCAGCAGCTCCTTGGTGTGTCTTTGGGCTGTGATGCATGGCACCTTCAAGAGCAGACCCTAAAATGCAGAGCAAAATCTGCAGAAGGAGGTGGGCAGGGAAGGAGGAGCAGGGCTATAAGCTCTGCTTTTAGAGGCTCTGGTCAGCTCCTGCTAAATTAGATTAGGGTTTAATTACAAGCTGAAGGGAAAATCTAATTTTGATGAAAGAACAATGCATATATTTTATAATAACAGAGAAACAAACCCATTACAGCAAAGCCTGTGTGGAACGATTTTCCTCTGGGGCCACTTGTTGGCCGATTGCCTGTTTATCTTGACTCTTTTTTTACCTTTTTTTTTTTTTTTTTAATAGAACCAATTTCAGGGGTTGGAAATGTGAATGCTGAATCAGTTTTCAGCTTTTAATGACCCTGTCTTCACCTAAATGGGCTTGGCTGGACCTGAGCCCACGAGTTCTTGCAGCAGATGCTGAGTCACCCAACTCTGCTGAGTCGGTAGCAGTTGAGGGTCCTGAGCATCTGCAGGATGGCAGCCTCTGCTCCAAAGGGTTTGGCAGAGCCCCTTCCCTGCCTCGTTAGTGCTGTGGACGTTATGACAGCTCCTTTTTCTCCTCTGCATGTTAATTAGGCAGGGATGTGCTCTCTCCAGGTCCCTTAGCAGACACCATGTGGTTCTCCACGGCAGAGCTGGAAGTGAAGATGGTCTCCAAGCTATTAACACCTCAAATTGCTCATTAAGAGCGCAGCAGAAGGGCAGTGTGTCAGATATTATCCCTGGTCTGCATTAAGCACTGTTGGTATTCTAAATTATCAGATCAAACTAACTCGGTCTGACATCGAGGGAATCAAACATCAGATCTCATGAAGGTGAGATCAATAGAATTTAACCATCCATACATTTAACCTCCCTGGAGCTGCCCACCAGAGGCTCCCAGCATCAATCAGAGACACATGTTTATTTTGGACAGGAAAGAAAAATGTTGTTTCTCTGACTGGACAAAGCTCTGCGTGCTTAGATCATTTTTTTTTTTTGCCTTCTAATTGTTCAACCCATTTTTTCCTCCTTACTCTTCAGTTACTGCTGCTCCTTTGAGCAGAGCAATCACATAAGCAACACATTGCTGTGTGGTTGGACATGCCCAACTCATCAGGCCAACTCATGCCCCTTCTCTGACACTGCTGAGCCATGAATCTCTTGTGGTTGCTCTTCTTATAGACCTGTGTGGTTAGACACAGCCTGAGACAGACTCTCCTCACCCCTTGGACCTTTGCTAGCTCAAAGCTCAGTTAAGCCTTCTCCCCAAGATGCTTTCTGGAGCATCAGAATGGATCTTCAGAATCACTCAGCGGGAGACAGTAGATCTGGAGTCCAGTTCAAGCAGGGTTCAAGGCCAGGTTGGATGAGGCTTTGTGCAACCTGATCTAATGGAAGGTGTCTCTCCTCATTGCAGGGTGGTGGGAACTGGGTAATATTTAAGGTCCCTTCCAACATTCTGTGATTCTGTGATTTCATCATATTTCTTCTCTTAAAGGTTTCTTCTTGAAAGACTGATTCATCCCCCTTCCTAAGGGCAGTATCCAGCTCCTCAGCTTTCTTTGAGATTCCCATCAAAGGGAAGACACTAAATCCAAAGGATTTACCAGGATTTCCGTAGAGACCTATGAAGGTCCCTTCCAACTCAAACCAGTCTGGGATTCAATGAAAATTATTATTCCCATCCATGATTTTCGTGACCAATTTGTTTTGAACAGACCAGGAGCCTTTCCCCTCCCAGGTGGATCTTCTGTAGCATCAGTAATTTCTCATCTCTTTGCCCTCTCTCCTTCTGTGTCCCCTGGCAGGTTGCACTGCAGAGACCTTGCGAGCCAGATCCCAGCCTTGTTACTGACCAAAAAAAAACCCCAACCCAATTCTGTTCTCTTTGATGGGTTTTTTGCTTTGTTGTTTTTATAACGAGGAGGAAATGGAAAATACAGACAGTGAAAAACAGGGCAAGGCAAAAATCTGACAGCAGTGCTCTATCAGCCACTGGAGGGGAGAGGTACATCAGCAGCAAGAATGTTCATCAGAAACACCTTCATCCACTGTGCCCCTGATGCTGAGGAGAGTCTCACATGAGTGATAGCAAACCATAGCTCCTTCTCACCCCCCTCTGTGCTATCAGCTCTTTGGGCTGATGCATTTTGGGCTTTGGTAGCCCCATGGATTCTCCATTTCCTGCTTAAATCCTGTGGGTAACTTAGAAGAGGGCTGTGCTGTGTTGGGAACGTGCTGCTGAACGTGCCATTCAGCTGCCTGTGGTTTGGCAGTGGCAGAGAAGTGGTTTACTCAGGGTAACCAAGAAGTGGCCTCTTACTTCTCAGAGTCTCTTGGAGCAAGGGCTGGGTGCTAGGATTCACCGTTGGCTGCTGTGAAGGGCTTGTGGAGAGGCTCTGTACTGGTGGACAGAGACACTGGGGAGCTGGAGCAAGGGAGACTTGGAAACCATCTTGAGACTTGGGATCATCTCGTCCAACCCCCCTGCTCCAGCAGGTCACCCACAGCAGGGTGCCCAGGATCACATCCAGGAGGGTTTGGAATCTCTCCAGAGGAGGAGACTCCACAGCCTCTCTGGACAGCCTGCTCCAGGCTCTGCCACCCTCACACCAAAGAAGCTTCTCCTCCTGTTCAGGTGGAACATCCTGGGTTCCAGTTTATGCATTTTTCTACTTATCCTGTCACTGGGCACCACTGACAAGAGTCTGGCCCCAGCCTCTTGCCCCCACCTTTCAGAGACTGATCAGATCCCCTCGGAGGCTTCTCTTCTCCAGGCTACCCAGCCCCAGGGCTCTCAGCCTGTTCTGGCACAGAGATGCTCCAGGCCCCTCAACATCTCTGTAGCCTCCACTGAACTCTCTCCACCCCTCAACATCTCTGTAGCCTCCACTGGACTCTCTCCAGCAGCTCCTTGTCTCTCTGGAAATGGGGAGCCCAGAACTGGACCCAATACTCTGGAGGTGGCCTCACCAGGGTAGAGCAGAGGGGGAGGAGAACCTCCCTTGACCTGCTGGCCACACTCCTCTTCATGCCCCCCAGGAGACCATTGGCCTTCTTGGCCACAAGAGCCCCCTCTGTTCTGAGCATGCTGAGCTGAGTTGGTGGCACCTTTTCAGCAGCGTGGAGCTTCGGCCTCTGACTCGTTTGGGGATGTGGCCCCAGGACATGTCTCACTTGAGGCTGTTTTGGGGTCGGTTTTTTCCTCACCGTTGCTGCTCTGTCTTCTGCTGTTCCTGGTGGTGACCTGCTGCAGAATCCCAGCTGGAGGGGGAGCTGGGCTGTGGCATCAGCGTGGGCCAGTGGAGACACCTTCTGGGGATCAGCAGAAGCAGTTGAAACGAACAAGGACCTTCTAGATGAAGACTTCAGGGCTCACTGGGTCATTTAATCTCCCTCCTTTTCCTCACTCTGCTTGTGGCACCATGGAAGGATCGTGGTGCTCGCTGATGGGCAGAGAGCCCCGTGGCAGTGCCATGAGCTTGTCCTCAAGGTTCAGTTGTCCCAGGGTGCAGCTGCAAACCCTCGTGCTCCAGGGGTTGTGAGGTCTTTGCGTGCTGCCACGGGGTGCTACGGGGCCCCCAAAGCACAGGCTGCTGGTCCTCAACCCTCAACATGCCTCAGCTCAGGCTCGAGCTGCCTTTTGGCTTCTTGTAGGGTGAAGCTTGCCTACCCAACCCCACCCAATCTGGTCCATACCATCTCAGGCTGTCCTGTTCACAAACTTGTTGTGATTCAGCTTTGGTCTCCTGCAGCCTTTCCCCTATGGAGAGGGTAGACCAAGCCTATCCCTATTCCCTTCCTGGGAATGGCTGGGATCCTTCTGCTTGCCCACCTGATGCACCCAGGACCATCCCGCTGCTCCCAACAGGTTAAGCTCGACCAGCTCTTTGCCTCCTAACACTTTCAACCTTTGCAGCCATCCCTCTGTGGTTTGCCAAGCACTCAAGCTTGACCCTGTGAAGCCATCTTAAAATGGGGAATGTCCAGATCCCTGCCACAAAGACAGCTGGAGAACATCTCTCCTCCTCTGCTGTCAGTTGCTGGAGTCAATAGAGTCATCTGTTTGCAGAGCCAATTTTTGGAGTAGCTGCCGAGGTTGTAATTGGTGCTGATGACTTTAAACAGCATCTCCAAATTACAGCTGTCGGGGCTTGTTTAATTTTGAACAAAGGCTACAAATTGTGTTTGTTGTCAGAGCTATTGATTTCTTCAGAGGGACCTTTGGCCAGAGTCTGACTGAGAAGCATTTTTCTGTCTGATAGGGAATCAGGAGCTCACCTGAAGCTTATAAATCACCTGGCTGATGTGCAAAGCATGAGGAAGAAAAGAGGACT